AATGTACTACAATACTGAGGTGCAGATAATTGCCACTATTTGCAAAAAGTAGTATAAATAGCAGAAAATCCTGATAAAATCCTACATAGTGTAAATAGAATCCATCGCTATTTGCACTTAGTGTAAATATCATATATCGCTAAGAAAATATGCAATTTTCACTAGGTGTAAATAGCATCTAATTGCTATTTACACTTAGTGTAACTATTTTTTAAAGGGGAGAATACATAGCTAGATCTCAAACAGTGGATCATTTATCATTGTTATATATCGTCATATTGCCCAGTAAAACTGCTCAGTGTAAAGAATTAAGCCATTATAGATGTAACCGAACTTACTAGAAGCTGCTTTGAAACGATGTGTAGCCTAGGATGCTATGCAAATAAATACCTTGACTTGAATGAACCAAGTTGAAAATTCCTTACTATTAGGGATGCTGAACAACGATGCAAGCGATCAAATAAATGAATGAATGAAACTTAATCCGTACAAACAATTGGATGGGTATCAATGAGCTGCATGACATTTCCATATATGATTTTCTTCTATTTGTAGTGTGAGGGCTTACAGTTTAATGCAAATCACTGTAGCCTAATAAATCTACAGAGATAAATTATTAAGCCACATCTTATTTGAGTTGTTTACCATACCGAGTTTCAGTTTAACTTTCATCCGAGTTTCGTAGTAAATGTAGACATTTTATCTTCTATTTCATGTTTGTATGATTCAACTTAAGATCACGTTGGAATAATTAACGCTTACTGTATCAACATAGCACTAATCAAATCAGAGGTATTTCATGCAGACATTGATAGGCTATGGCATAGCCCTTATCAATGTCTGCAGGAAATACCTCTGCTTTTTCAGCTTTCTAATGCTGAAAAAAGCATGTTTTTCACACCGGCCGTGCAAAGAGCTAGGGCAAATTATGTAAAGTGAGCCTTAACCACTCCAACAAGATCTTAAAGGAACACTCCACTATTTTTGAAAATAAGCTAATTTTCCAACTCCCCTACACTGTAAAAAATGACCGTGAATTTAACTAGTGTTTGTGTGAATGACACTGTGCACCTTCTATATATGTTATTATTTAAAAGCTGCTTGTGATGGGCTTTGCTTCATCATGTGACTTTCTCATCACCACCTGCATTTGGTGGTTATCTGTGTATTACAAATGTACAAAACAGATTTCAGTACTTCAATAGGTTGGTATATTAACATCATATCAGTTAATGAAAAAACGGTATTTAACTGTAAATTTAAGCTAAAACCGTAAAACCTAAAACGTTGCTACCGTATTTTTTTACGGTAAAATTCTTAGTTTTTTACCCTAAATTTTACAGAATTTTTTTACAGTGTAGAGTTAAACAGCTGAGTTTTACCATTTTCGAATCCATTCAGCTGATCTCCAACGGTAAAACTCAACTATTTAACTCTAGGGGATTTGGAAAATGAGCCTATTTTCAAAAATAGTAGAGTGTTCCTTTAAGTAGAATAATATAAACATTAAATAATATCAAACGACTACATTCACTATCCAGTCTCCGCTGTAGCTCCCGTGAACTAAATTCCTGCATTGCCGCTGTGACGACACATTCCCATTCTCTATTTACACACACTATAAAAAAAATCACCTGTAAATTTTACAGTAAAATACTGGCAGCAGGGTTGCCAGCCAGTTACTGTAATATTTACAGAATTGTTGCTGTAATTTAATTTACAGCTGTAGCGAATCAGCTCATGGGGAAATATGAATAATTAATCATAACTAGTTATAATTAATTATAAATATTTAGATCCG